AATAATTCTCTTTTTATAAAACTAGTAAATAAAAAGGGGGGTTTTGGGATTGAATGATTTAACTTAATTAAACATAAAGATGAACAACTTAATTTAAAGATAAAAAGGACTTGGCATTGCTACTTTCCACTTGTTGATATATTTTAGTCGATCATTGTTATATCTATAACTTATCCCCTCTCGAATACTCAATCGAGGAGTATATCCAATTCATCGAGGGTAGTTATTAACAACGACCGTTCATTAATAACCCTTACTATTAGTCATGTATAGAACACCGCCATATACCGACTTGATAGTAACATTTAATCTCTTAACTCCTTGATGAAATCAATTGAGATTGATAACCTCAACACAACGGTTTCGGTTTAACCAACAAAATTAATCCCTCTTAAGTTTATTAACCACGACCGTGCATTAATAGACCGAAGTTACTTACTTGTGAAACCATCAACGATTAACCATCGGTTCGTTGAACGTTTCTAGTAGTAATTAATGTTGAGATGTTAACTAATTGTCATCTTAGCAACACTCCCCAACATTAACATAGAGATAGATTAAGGGAAGAATTAATATTCAAGGGAGAAGATTAAATATGAATAATCCTACTACAACTAATGTCAAGATGTTATCTAATTGTCATCTTAGTAACACTCCCCAACATTAATATATAGAGGAAGAAAATAAATACTACTATAACTAATGTTGAGATGTTAACTAATTGTCATCTTAGCAACACTCCCCAACATTAATATATAGATAGATTAAGAGAATAATTAATATTCAAGCTAAGGGAAGAAGTTAAGAAAATAACTCACAACTTTAATAATCAACAAGATTCAAGAGCAACACCAAGAAATGGAAGTTTAGCTCCTCATTTGGAGACTAAACATGCTATAAAAATATAAAAGAAATACTATTCTAAACTGAGCTTAAGTATATGGAAGAAGGGATTGATTTTTTGTGAAGAAAAAGTGTGCTATTTATAGGTGTTTTTCAACACCTTTGGCCGGGTACCCGACCGGGTATAGGTACATACCCGACCGGATACCGGTCAAAATCAGATTATCTCCCACGTTTTTGTGTTTTCAGCACGTTAAATTGTCCGGGTCAAGTCAGACCCGACCGGGTCAAGTAAGGGACCCGACCGGGTTTGGTCAAAATCAGATCTTTTCCAAATCTTTGTGATCTGCAGCATGTTCTGGTGCTCCGGGTCAAATCTGACCCGACCGGGTCGAGTAAGGGACCCGACCGGGTCTTACTCTTTCCTCTTAGATCCTGATCTTTAACTGACCCGACCGGGTTCAAGGTCTGAACCGGTCGGGTTTGTGTTCCTGAGCATTTTTGTCTTCAGCTTTTCTCCCCTTTTGCTTGCTAAAAACTCTATCACTATTCTATAGCTAGAAATAGAAGGTAAAAACAATTACAACTAAAATAAAACAAATACTTACAAACTAACTAAAAGTGATGGAAAGTCCACACAAGATCAATATAAAAACATACACTTATGCACTATAAACTAGTGCATATCACATAGCGTGGCAAATTATATTGCGCACCCAGTTATACTATGTGTATGATAGGTAAATTTATAATTATTTACAAGATTCAGTTAAATTGTGATAGATACATTTGACTCCCTTGTTTCTCTCCCGTTGAGTATTCATGCTCCCAACTTCCCAAGTGCCAGCCAGCACAATGCAGATGTCCCTTCAATTTTTTATTTCAAAGATTATCAATTTCTTCCCAAAATTGATTCAATTGAATTCTTAAATTATTAAAAGGAATGAAAATATGACTAAAACATCTTCATCTCTCTATTTCACTAATAGTGATATACAATTTCCTTAAAACTATCTTCTAAATAGGGATGGACATCAAATGTTCGTAAAATTTCCAATGTGGTTTTTCGTTCAATTCTTGAGCGAATTTTAATTATTCTTTGATGCACTTGATTAAAATATGGATTATGCATCATCTATTTTGCATAAGACGTAGTAGTTCTCAGTTGTGAATTGATTTAAATAATTGTTTTACTACTTCCAAATCAGTACAAAAATGAGTTTTATGTCAGATTTAATGAGTATAATATTTTCAGGGATTCAACACTTTTTTAGTATAATAAATCTATTACATCTGCATATTATAAAAATGAGTTTTATGTTAAACTCAAACGAGTATAACGCTTAAAAGGAATATTACTAAAATAAAACATATTTATATAAATATGACTATTCATTACTACAACGTAGTGTTGTGGTAACTCAAGTTCAAAATTTGAACATGAATTACTATGATTTCATTACTACTCTAATAACTCGTCATATTTTTGTAAACCATCTTTATTTTGATCATATTTATGTAATTATTTCATATTTGAATACATTACAAATGAGTTTTATGTTAAATTCATATGAGTATATATATAATGCCTAAAAGGAAGAACACACACAAATAAGTTGTTGAATCTTTTGACTCGTTTTATAAGTTAAGTATGCTCATTTAGTATCGGTGTTATGCTCATTTTAAAACATTATATCAATCCATATTTCTAAGTATCATATTGCATTAGATCCAAGAGCAAAAATCATGATACTCAATAGAGCAGGTTTGATGTTAAATGAAAATGGTTTGATGCTCAAATAACAAAACATACAATATTCATATCAATGCTCATTTTGTAAGTTACGTATTCTCCTTTGATATTGATATTATGCTCATTTTTAAAATGTCATACTAATTCATATTCAAAAGTACTACATTACATTAGATTTGCATATTGACATTCATAAGAGTTAATTGTAAGTATAATTTAATAAATTTTGAAAAAGAAAAAACAAGAAAAAGAAAGTGAGTTAGAATATTTGAAGCAAAGATCATGATGTGCAATATTAAACTCCTAAGGATGTTTTTACTTAGACTGTAATTTGTTGGTCTGGTCTGGTCTGATCTGGCCTGAGCTGGTCTGGTCTGATCTGGCCTGAGCTGGTCTGGTCAGGTAATGTCTGGTTTCTTTGTATTTTTATAATTATCCAAGTCTGGTCTGATCTAGTCTGATCTGATCCGATATGTGACAGATTACAGTCCAAATAAAAACATCCTACTACTCAACAAAATAGGTTTAATGATTGCATTAATGCACATTTTGCGGAAGCCACATTTTTCAGTTAAATTACGGAAATGACATCAGTTGTAAGGCGATCACCACAGGTTTAACGTTATAGGGACTCATCATTGCATGTTGCATGCACAAAGCATTAAAAACTAAAAATTTTAATATATATGGAATAATAAATGAGCACACGGTCCCCCAATGGGCACGCAGAAAGGTGCTACTCACGCTTCCCCAATGGGGTGGGGAAGGAGGGAGAATTACCGTTTGGACCGGAACTGAGAGTTGTTAAGGGGAGGGTAATGTCGAGCGGAAACAAGTGGTTAGTTTCAGTGGGTAAAGGAAAAGAGAAAAAAGGTGAATACAGTTATAAGGCATCGGGTGGGGAGAGCTATGGGACTCCATAAGAGCAAGAACATCATATTACAGAAAAGAAGGGAGGACACGGGCTACAATGCCCGCATGACACACAATTGAAGTTTTGGCAACAGGATCCGGCAAGGATGGAAACTAGAGAATTTCATCAGTTGTAGTTTTATTTCTATTGCATTTTTTATTTCAAACTAAATTTACTTGTTATTCTTGCTTTATGCGATAAGGGGGTGGTTTCATGTGTTGCTTGTTTGTTGTTGCTACGAAAATTGTTACTTCACTTGCAACTCCCAAAGCTCTACTTGAAACTGGATATTAAAAAGGCAATAATCAGAATAGGGTACGTGGAATCGTGGATTGTCATCATCTTAGATTAGGGCTGATTGTAATTGTAATATGTATCTTACTTTTCATTTAATATTAATTATTTTAGCTCAAAGGAATTATTTTTTCCTTCAAGAAAGATTTAATCATTTTTGTCATTCAAGTTTACGTTTTAAAATTTCTTTTCAACATATTTTATTTTTACTCTAGGTTAATTGATTTTGGTTGAGCACAGTAATGGCAAGATGCAAAAAGATGCAGTTCTTCAATTCTTTTTCTTTAATCCATTCTATCTCTCTTCTTTACCTATGACCTCATAATATACTAATGGCATGAAATGAAAAACAGAGCCGAGAGTCAAGAGTATATACAGCTTATCGATTGCTTGTATTTTAGCGGAATTACGAAGGAGTGTGTGGTAGCATTACCTTGTGCCTGTTGTATCATTGATTTGTGGCCAATTGTGAACTTCTATGGATTATGCGTAGAGATGAACTCAGTTTATGGAATAGCAAGATAAGGAGCTTAGAGATAGATCAAGTTGATAATGTTTTCAGTGAAGTTGTAAATCTGCTTTCACCATCTAATGTAAGTAATTCTAGAGCCAAAAATCCATTGACAAGCTTCTTTTATCTGCAGATACTAAAATTGGCAATAGCTTTCTTTTTGGAGGATGTTCCATTGCAGTTAGGATGGTATTTAGGTTTCAAGCAGGTATGATTTCATCCGGGTCCGAGATTCTCTCAGCTTCTGTGATGGTTAATAACTTTTGTTTCCCTATCGGCTGGGATTATACTCCCTTCTTTCCTACGTTGCTAACATGGCCCTAACTGAACTGGTCTTTGTTACATACTCCCTCCGTCCCAGGGAGAAGTTCCCGGGTTGACTTTCACACATATTAAGGAAATGAAGTTACTGGGGGGTAAATTTTACTGTTTGGCACTGTTTCGACACTGTTTGGCACTGTTTTGACACTGTTTTGCACCGTTTAGCACTGTTTGGCACTGTTTAAAAACTTATACGAAACAAGGCAAGATATTAAATTAGAAATTTGGTTGCATTGTGCCTTAAACATGGTTTCATAGGTACCAAATCCTTGAAATAAATTTGATTGCAATGTAAGATATTAAAATTCCTAAAACCCCAGTCGATCAAAATATCAAATAACCATGATGAAACAGGCAAATAGGAGATAAAAGACAAATGTAAGAAAGGTAAAGAAACCAAGCCAGACACTTGAATAATTACATGGGTTGACAGATGGAGAGCTGCTATTTCTCAAATACTACAAGCACAACATTTACAAAAATTGTAATAGCACAGACATTTGATGTGATCATGTTTCTCAATAATACTTTTAAGTTTTAACTTTACGTTTTGCAAAAAACATTACATATACCAAGAGCAAAGATATCTTCCATATTGTCAGTTACTTATGGACTGATGGACATAATTAAGCTAAGCTAAGATTATCAACTTCATCCTCCTCCTCATCATCACTAATCCATCCATAACAAGGTTTTTTCATTATGTTGGAAGATTTAGTCACCATCTGTGGAAGAGATGATTTAGAAGCAAAACCCACATGAAGTTGCTGTGTATCATCAATATCCTTAGCCTACAAATAAAGAGAATTAACACAATGAGATATGATATTGGTTCCATACACACACACAAATGAAAGGGAAGTTTAACTATGTAAAAAATAAAACTTGGAATTAAAATTTGATAGATAATTTTTCACTAATGAATGGATATTTATTAAGTTTCTCTCTTTTGAATGCAATACCCTGCCAATTATTTGAATCTACAAATCAGCTTCAGGAAATTAGTCAGTAAGCTGCATATATGTCCATTACCTAGTTATTATCAGTACAATTAAAGTAACAAACAAACATATGAGAACTTCCAGTACTCTTCTTAACAAGAACCTTTAACAATACAGAACCCTAATCTTAAATATGTATTAACAAAATTGAGAAATGTACTGAAGAGAGAGACGGGCATACCACACCAAACGATTTGGTCTCAACTCTGATTGTTTGATGTATACAAGTGCTTTGGTTTTCCATTTCTTTATCAGACACTCTAATTTCATCAATAACTTTATCATAGTCTACACTAACCATCTCACTACCCTGCTCGTTCTCTGAAGTTTCAGCATTTCTCTGCAAATTGGAACTGTCAAGAACAAATCTTTTCTCCGTATTGGGTTCTTGAACAGATTCTGTTTCTCCGCTCAACAAGGCATCAATTAGAACCCTGTATGACCCCTCTTCAATGAATGCCCACCCTTCATCTCCATAAACCTTAATACAAGAGAAAAAGAGAAACCTTTACAACATAACCATCTGAAACCCATTTGTAAACATCACATTTGACAGTTTCACCATTCACCACTCCAATAATTACAAGACACTTTTAAATTTTTATTTATTGAATTTGTTTTTTACTAAAACTTATTATCCCATAAAAAAAAGATACTTATTTAGTTGTTTGATAAAGGTTCAATGTTTTTTTTAATTCTTTCATGTTATAACACTTAAATCATGAAAATCTACCTACATTTTCTAAAAAAAATGGGTTTCAATGAATATATCACTTGAATTTATTTCCAACACAAAATTACATGGAAAAAGTAGTTCAAGCTTATGAAACAGGGCTTTTAATACTAAAGGGACTACCAAAAACATACCTAGTTTGGCCATCGAATAAATGGAAACAGAGCAATGGATGAATCGGAAATTAGGAATAGAAGCACGAGCGGAGATTAGTGGAAAAAAAGTAGATTATTACCTTGAGGAGATCTTTGACTGATTTGCGAACGACGTCGTTTGAAAACCCTAACGGCCGCATAGCATCTAGTGCGGCGTCAATTCGATGCAATCCCTTCTGCGGGAAAGCTTTGAAAGTTCATATACTCTTACATTTCTACACCCAATTTTGCAATTGAAAATCTTGATATTCTGGGCATGCTTATAAGAGCAAAAAATCGCAAGAAGAAACTGATACCTTTGGGCGCTTGTTTCTGGGTGGCATGGCAGGCAATAAAAGAGGAGTCCGTGCAGAGGAGTCAGCAGAAGTGGGCGGGGAGAAAAGGAACAATGTGTATTGATTGATAGATTCTTTTTCACTGCGTTCTTTTCTATCTTCCGAGGCAGTCATGAAAATGGTGTGCTCCCAACTTCCCATGCATTGTTTACTTCGTATTCTGTAGCTTTACCAAACTATGCACGGAGTGTTTGAAAAGCTCAAATTTAGCTTTATTTCGACTAATACCGAGTACTTCCTTTGTTTCATCACGTCAAAGTTGATTTGAACGTAAAATGACTTCAGTCACATCTTTCTTATTTTAAATGGAGATGACAAAGTTTAATTTTGAGACGGTCAAAAAGGGAAATTTCGCCAGATTTTATGGGACAAAGGAAGTACTCCCTCTGTCCCAACATAAAAGGCACACTTTCTTTTTCGGTCCGTCCCAATATAAAAGGCACATTTCCCTTTTTGGCAAACAAAACAGTGCAAAACAGTGTCAAACAGTGTCCAAACAGTGCCAAACAGTGTCTAAACAGTGTCAAACAGTGTTCAAACAGTGTCCACCTTTAAAAACTCCCCAAACACAAATGTGCCTTTTATATTGGGACGGAGGGAGTATTTAAAAGCTTAGGAGCGACAGAGATATGTTTTAAATTACTTTTCTCATTTTCTATTACACAAAAAACATTTATTTTATTAAAGATTACCGACTTTTATTTTTTCAAACAACATTTTTTTCTCAATAACTACCAACTTTTATCTATTACGCATCATCTCCAAAACACTTTAAAAAATCACTTATTAAAGTAAAATCAATAGCAAGCGCTCTTTTTGTTTTGTGTCTAAGAACATCTTTAATGGGCATGTGGATCGTACCCCACAATTCGCACAAAAAAATGAACACACCAACTATAAAAACGACTTGTATTGCTATGTTTGATATGACGTACTCCCTCCGTCCCGCTATAATTGTCCCATTTTACCATTTCAGTCCGTCCCACTAAGATTGTCTCATACCTTATTTGGGAAAGTTTGTGTGGTTCTAAATCATTCTTACTTTATTCTTACTTTATCAATTCAATATCAACCACATAACCCCACTTTTATTGATAACCGTGTCAACTTCTCTTGTCTCAAACACAGTGGGACGGAGGTAGTAATAAACTATGTAATGTAATGAGCATTACGTGTTGATTCCAATACGATATTTGGTATGTCTTTTTATTTTTAAACGTTATGTAATTGGCTTTTCACATGTGGAACTCGTTACTTTTACATGGGTAATAAGAAAAAAAAGGATGACACCCCATCCCTGAGGGCCCCTCAACACCGACCGGACAGCACGATGGGAGGATGAGATAAAGATTACATCTTCAACCTTTCAGAACCACACAGCACGATGGGTGTGGATGATTACTTTTACATGGGTAATAAGATTTATATTAATAGAAGTGTGTATTTGAGATAACATCTTATTAGAAGTCCTGAAAATAAACCACTGTCCTTGATGGGAGATTCAACATATGGCCTCACCTGACCTTTAGCTGTGAAAGCAAACAATAACGGTCATGGCACTATGGCAGTGCCCACGTCACAGAACCACTTCCATAGATGCTTCGCTCTTCTACACCATTACATTTTAAAGTTTAACCAAACATACTAATGGAACATATCATTCCATTCCATTGCATATTGTGTTGTATTAAGTATTTCATTTCATTGGATCATATCCACATAAACCAAAAACTATTATTCTCTCCAATGCGATTTTAAAGAACTAGCCGCAGGTTACTGTTTCTTCAACCTTTCTACTCATCTCCGATCCAAAATCAAAGGCATACCTAAAAAAATAATCGGTAATTTCATCTCATGACATAGCCACAAGTGACGTCTCCTATCACACAAAAATACACACACGTGTGTGTATTCATATAATAAAGGAAGTGGTGTGGATGATTCCTTTTGATTAATCATATGGTGTACTAGTATGAAAATACAAAATAGCTACTTGAAAATTCTTCAATTTTGTTCAGAACTTCTCCCTCAAAATGTCTGTGTTAGGATCTCTCAAATGAGTAGATATGGAGAAGATTATGAAATGCATAGCGAATTCCAGTGGCGTATCCATAAAGTACGCCAGTGAGGACAAACTTATCTTAGATAGAAAACAAATCACCAGAAAAATCATACTAATCATGTTAGGAAACAAATAGGAAGTCAATTATAAATGACAAAATATTCTCTCGACGAAAACATGATGATATCATGTTTTTACTTTGTTAGAAATAAGTTTATCACATTACGTCTGTATTTTGTCAATAAGTAAATGAGTCAACTCAGGGAAGGATCAAGCATGTGCTTCGAATTAATTTACATTGAAAATTGAAGTATATTAAAAAAATTAGTTTATATCATGTACAAAATCAGTTCACATGGAAAACTATAATGGTAACTATATTGATTTAGTTTAGATCTTTCCAACCAAAAATATTACTGCAAAGCAACTGAAGCAAGGCAAAAAATTACAAAAATGGAGAAAAGGGAAAAAAATTACAAAAACGAAGCAAATGTTCGAACTTGTGCCCTTTAGACACTGTTGACACCTACCCGGCTACCCGCATTTCCATTCAACCATAAACACTTGTAATTTTAATTGTCATACTTATTACTCCCGTATATAACAATTTTTTGTTTAACACACAAATCATACTTTAACACCCATAGACACTTTTTAATCGCATACAAAGCGCCACATAATTCTACCATGTCATTATATATAAAAATTACTAGTATTAGTTATTATTATCCCTTTTATTTTATTAGATTTTATTTTTGATTACATATTGATATGGAAACAAAAGATCCTAAAAATCCACCTTATTTATTTTGGTAACAAAATACTTCGTTTTTTCCGCATCTTAAACAATTCTTTATTAATTATTAACACAATGATGATAATTTTAATACTATTAGATATTCATTGAAGCTTTTTTATATTTAAAAGCTTACTTTATGTAATAAGAATGAATGTTGATATCATCCACACAAACATACATTTGCACGTAAATACGTTTAACCTAGCAAAACATACCTTATTTTTACAACTACAATTTAAATATGCATTTGCATTTGAAATAGATTCCTGATCCAAATTAGGAAATCTTTGTATGTTTACAAATTCCTAATTTGATTCAATAGAATGTTTTTGATTGGATTATTGATTTCAGTTCCAAACTATATCAGACCAGATCAAACTTTAATAATAATAATAAGTGACATAAAATACAAAATAGACATCTACCAGACCATACTAATTCAAACAAATCAAACCCAAAACTTTAATCTACCAAACCTTATTAGTGAGTAAAATGTAAGATCTCACTATTAAAATTTAAAAATACGTGTTTCGCACCAAGTTGAATGAAAAATATTATAAACATATTATTTTGAAATTCTCAATGAAATAGTTTAGATGTTCATAAAAATTAAAAATCGTTTTCAATGTAACGAAATAGTGAGTAAATTGTATAAAAAACTCCATTTTTTATATTTACAATGTAATGAAATAATGAGTAAAATGTGAGTAACATCTGATTATTAAAAGTTAAAAGCATGTACTTAGTATTTCATACCAAGTTGAATGAGGAATATTAGAAAAAAAAATTGATGTGCATAATAAACTAATTTAGAAGATGTGAGATTATGAAATCTTTAAAATCGAGTTCATAACAATTATTTGTTTACTTGAGATTGCTTATATAGAAGATCATTTTAACTATTTTTCATATATTTTTTTCTTTATTTTACAAATGGAATATACTTTACATAAACCCATTCAATTAAAATTTAATCAATTTCAGCAAAATAAGTCAATTCAACCAATTTTATTATTCTTAAACAGACTCTATATTAGAGTGAGTTTATACTATTTGTGTATCACATTATATATGATTCCGAAAAAATAGGGATTGGATGGGGGTTGAGAGAGGTTGAAAGGGGCAAGTGCCTCCTTGCCCCCACCTTGGATATCCAAGGCCTATTCAAACTCTCAACCGCCTCTACTAGTCGATGCTTTGAAGATTCTAAACTTTTAATTTAACTCTAATGTCTATGAATATTCCTTTTTATGCAAAATGTGAATGAGATTTAAACACTAATAAGTGAATTCTTATCATTTTAATTTCAAAATGCACCACCATATGATAATAATGATGTTTGGTAAATGGCTGCCTGATTTGACTAAATTTAGATTATTTGACTGATAGATTAACCAGCTACATAATATGTATGTTCGATAAACGGCATTTTGAATCAACTTATCATCCCAAACAGTCAAAAAATATCTTTTGGAAACGCCACAGATTGCATCGTTTCAACTTTCATGTTGGCTGGTTCACTTTTACAGGATACTATACTTCGTTTTTTAAAAGTTGCAAAAGTTTGACTGTCACGTTTGTCAACGCAGACCTTTGATTGTAATAATATTTAATTACGTATTAGTAAACATTGTAAAAAGTTAATTTTAAAAAACTTTGCATTAGTAGAAATTTAATACTACCTCCGTCCCACTAAGATTGGGACAAGAGAAGGTGGCATGATTATTAAGAAAAGTAAGTTTGTATGATTGATATTAAATTGATAAAGTAAGAATAAAGTAAGAATGATTTAGAACCATACAATCTTTACGAAATTTGGTATGAGACAATCTTAGTGGGACTTCCCGAAAAGGTAAAACGGGACAATCTTAACGGGACGGAGGGAGTAACATTTTATACATAAAAGTTTGACTATATATATATATTATTAGAAAAAAGAAAATTGTCAAATAAGCCCCTGTAATATATCACAATAGTCAATTAGACCCCGTAGTTTGAAAACACTCAATTGAACCCTCAAACTTTGTAAAATCACTCAATTGAGCTTTATAGTAGGTAACCATCCCGTTCTCCGGTTACTTGTATGTGTGGTACAGCCCATGTGGCAAATATTTTTCTTTTTTTTTTCTTTTTCATTTTTTCTTTCTTTTATCTTTTTCTTTTGAGAAAACTGTCAAATAAGTCCCCCTACTAATTCAAAAAAGTCAATTGGCCCCCTGAACTAAAACAACCTCCAATCAAACCCACAAATCCATATAAAATTGTCAAATTAGCTTTTTGACCTGTAAATTTCCGGTTTCCCGGTGAACCATGTCAATGTGGATTTTAATTTTAATTTTGTTTTTTTTGTTTGCTGTTCTGTTTTCTTTCTTTTTGCCTTT